AACATACTAGGCGTTGATTTACAAACAAACAGGGCAAAAAAAGTAGCATGGCCATTTATAAGTGTTTTGCCTCGCTGAGGCATACTCTTAAAGAAGTACTAGATGAAAGCTGTGATGTCAAAAACCATGGTTCTCGAGCTCCTTTTCCCTTTGAATAATGGTATTTTATAAGCTAAGGTCAAAGACCTACACTAACCACTTATAAATGTCAGACATAAAACGCTGTATTTTTGGAAAGTGGTGTAAAAATACGGAGCTTGCATAGGTTTTATCATGACAATTGAAACAATCTTGAGCATCTTATTTTGCACAAAATCTCTTACAGCACTTGTAGAGCAATGCATTAGATGCCATTTGAGAAGCAGCAGATAGATGGGGAATAAGCAGTTTCAATTACTGTTCATCTGGCTTTCACGGTTCTTACTTACTCGGTGATCACTTTCAAGATGGCTAAAATAAAGCTAGAAAGGTATAGCCAGGAATGGAAGATGGGGATTAGAGAGAAGCTTTCCTTGACACCAATAGCAACAGACAAAAGGTGACAAAAGCTATTAGCCACGAAAGGGGAAAAAAAACTGATCTGGGCTTGAAAAGGTATCTTGAACTCCATAATCTTTATCTTCAACTGAGGACAGTCTGCTAACAAGCAAACATGTAAATCACAATTTTGAGTTACTTTCACCCTAGCGATGGCATCAAGAAATCCCCTATAACAAATACTTGGCTGTGAGTTCTTCAAAAAATCAGCGTAGCTTTTGTTGTAAGTATTGTATCTCATTACAAAGCTTTCAAGAGAAATTTCCCATGTCACCTCTGCTAGAAGCTACTTACAGTGATGAACTCTCTCCTCATTCACAGCTTCTTGCCACAATAGCAACTACCAAACAAGTGCTGGTGCCAACTGGTGTTTCTCAGAGTGGGACTAGGTGCCTTCTTGTTCAGACTTGGGAAAGTGCGTTTAAAAAAAAAAAAAGAATCACAACTGCAGTGGTACAGAGAGAAGGTTATATGTTACCTTCATTGCTACAGGAAGGTTTCATTTGACGTGCTACCAAATAAACTCTAATGGGTTCAAGACACTAACACACTGCTTTTCTCATAGTACTTGCAATTACTTCTTGTACACCTCTGTCCACAGGGGCCACTACCTCTTGTATCACAAGCAGCAAACTAAGAACATTTAAGACAAGCAGAACTGCACAGATGTGATTATTCAGTGACAGAGTACAGAAGGCAGAGTGTTTCATTGTCTCTCCTTGTATCTTCAGAATCACTGAAGTAATTTGTTCTAGGCAGCGAACAGCCTAATTAACACTGCTCATCTGTCTTCAGATGCTACCTGAGAACACAAGTGTCAAGTATTATTATGGCTTAGTTTCATGTAAAATTCTCCATTTCAAAGGCAGAAATCTTCCCTGCTGCAGCTCTGTCCTGCGGTGCTATCAAAAGGTATGGACGTTCGCGAGGACTTCTATCCAGATGCTGATCTCAGGGATTTCCCACTCACTGTTACTGTTGGCAGCCTAATAAAAGCCAAGTAGCAAGAAGAGAGACACGTGTTAATGCACTTGACGTTTCCAGGCAATTTCATACTAGTTTGGAAAAGTTCCAAACACTGAATGCGTCAGTCAGGTTTACTCGCAGATAGTATCCTTGATGGAAGATCACAGCTAAGCAGTGCTTACAGACCTAATAGCAGATGAAAAAAGACTGCATTTTAATGGGAGTTCACCAATCCTTAAATAACATCTGCATTAAGACAGAGATGATTATTAGCATCTATTAGAAAAAGTGACCAGATACTGCTATTTGCCACAGCATTAGGCTTTAGATAACAGCTTCTGCAAGACTTATTTCTTTAATATTCTGCTTGAGAGCAAAAAGCAAGCTTTTTCTCCAGTTCTCTCTACATCCTCATTCATACATATTTTTATTGTACAGGTATGTGTGTGAAAGAAACTGAAATAATCTCAGAAATTTAAGAATGCCACTAGCCACAGAGTCAAAGACAGTTGCTGTGATGATGGAATAAGCATGGGTTGCACACTGATTATTCCCTGTACCAAACTGTGACCTAACATAGGGACCATCAACCAAGTCATCCTTACCCCCCTTCAAACACAAATATACTATGGTATATAAAAAAAATTGCTTTATAGAAGATTGACAAATAATTTCTAATTAAAATAATCCAATATCTGGATTATTATTAACATCAAAACTCAAATTTTGCATTCCTTTGGGGGGAAAAAAAAAAGTAATGCTAGCATTACATCAAGATAATTTATAGAAAGTGTTACGTAATAATAAGAAGTGAAGGGGTAAAAATATTCATTTTATCACTATGTATACAAATGCAACGTGAAGATATGCCTACATGTGTACATGTATTTGTGACCTTACTAAATGCCTTTAATACAAGTTCATTTTAATCTTGCTACTTAGTAGATAATTAGATGCAGTATTTTGATCATCCTTTGTCATGTCAGCTAACAACTTTGCCAGCCCAGAAATGACAACTTTCACATTTGGTTAAGTTTAATTAGTTTTCCTTAAGCCTTTTAGTTGGAGAAACAATCAGAAGTGCCATAAAAATAAGCAGTAGTAAAGCAGTATGTTTCTACAATCAACAGGCTTTTAAAAACAACAAAACAAAACTGTCGGGGAAAAACTGTTTGTTGCATCTGGTGTGGGCCACGGAAGTACAGATCATGCATATTCAGCCTTTGAGTCCCTCCTACAGTCACTCGGCCTTCAGCACACCATCAGACCTAGACACAGGGATGTGATGGACAGCTGAACGTTAAAAGATGCACGCATTCACCTCCCACCAGCTGCAGCCCTTCGTTTGTTATTTCACGACTGCACACCGCTAACTTCCTACTCACAGGAACATCCGTGCTCAGGCGGTTCAGGACACCAGAAGCAAGCAGCCTGCAGACCCACAAAGAGATGTTCACAGCTTTCAGCTTGCAAACTGTACCTATAACCTCACTTACCAACCTCACAACCTCACTGCTGGCTTAAAAAAAAGTCACCACACTCAGATTAAGGTTGCTCCCCTTCAGGGTACAGCGGACTAGTACACACGTATGAAATAAAACGTGCCTATGCTGCTGAAAAGCCACGAACTAGTCCTTGTTCTGAGGCACTCCACATAACACTATAGCCATAAATATCAGAGGTTTCTAATGCGCATGTTAAACTTATACCTTAAAGCTCGTTCTATCTCAAAGTTGGCAAAATAGGCAGAAAAGAAAGAGAACAATGTTGAGACTTATAAAACCTACTTTAATCTCAAAAGCATTTCAGAATTCATTCATACAAGTTGTCAGCACTGAGGAATCTGCTTGGACGTCAGTACAAACTAGACCAGACGTTTCTGTTACTGTTAACTGGAAGGACATTTCTTACCCCTCGCCTTAGATTGCTGGTAAAAAAAGAACATCACAGTGCTGAAGCCATGGACTCAAGAGGCCAGGTTTCAGTAATTCTGGTACTGGTACCACAAGTCAGCCCATCCAACTTTTTCCAACAGCGTTCTGCCACTCCGCCCCATACACAACATTAACCGAAACAAACCACCCTGACGGTAATTACTATATATAGGAAACTTTAACTTCAGTTTTTGCACATTTTAGAACACTCAGGGGAATGGGAAACTGCAAATATTCAGCAAGGAATCTCTGTGACAGGTAAAAGCAGATGTTTGTAACCAGAGCAGAACCATTACATATCACAAGCAGAACCATACACAAGTTTTATAAAGCCAGAGGCTAAAACTCATGCGTGAAGTGTGACTCAAACTACAGTCAGTCAAGAGCAAAAAGAAGCTCTTTATCTCCTGGGTGGTTTAAAAGTGACAGCTGAGTAATTGTAAAACAACAAACTTACATCTCCATGTTGAGTCAAACTCAAGATCCTTCACATATTGTGCTTGAGCTGTACAAATTAACGTTGAAAAAAACTCACCAAATTCCTGGAGAAGCATTCCCTGTCTTAAAGTGATCCGAGCACAAGATAAACTAGTGCCTCCAGTTTTACTTTTCTTAGAGAAGGCCTGAAGAACATTCTGTTTTGAGACCATTTGGATGAGAGAGAAAGAGGTGTTTTTCTGAGGAGTTCTTGCCCGTTCTGTCTATTCAGAGGCAAACTTCAAGTCACGTAGACCATAAAAGAAAATTGGTTAATTTCTGACGTGGGCCATCTATCACTCTGTAGGTCAATGCATCAGCAACTGTAAACTACTGAGATAAAACCTGCTGAAGTTTGACATCGTAACTTTTAGTAAAATCCTAAACAGTACCCACCCTGCCCTCCCCCCACATTTGTCTCGTCTCCTCTAAGGAAAGCAAACAAAAGCCATTATATTCATCAAAAATTCTAAAGGAAACGTTTGGAAGAAGTTCTTGGGAACCTTTCCAAGGTTTCTCCATATGGCAAAAGAGGATGCTGGCTTTTTTGTGCACGCGCATCTCCGAATACAGCTTCCCAATTAAAAAAAGAGAAAGAAAGAGACACGGCTTACCCTGTACGATCAGCCAAATAACAGCAGCTTTTAGCCGCCGACATTTCATTTAAGAATCTCACTGTTAGGTTAGAGAAAGAAGAAACCAAGAGACTGGAGACCTCCCCGCTGCCCCACGCAGGGGAAGGTTTGGGCAGGCAGGCAGTGAACTCCTGAGGGCAGCCGCAGCTCTCTCACGGCTCCGACCCGGCGGCGAGCCAGCAGCTCGGTGCTCGAGCACGGCACCGGCCGCCAGAGTCAGCTCCGCTTCCCTGAGATTAAAGCACCGCACACACCGCGCGCAGGGGCCAGCCCAGCACAGCCCAGCCCCGCAGCCCCAGCACGGGCAGGACACAGCGGGGCACAGCGGCCCCGCCGGCCCCCCCCAGGCCCGGGAGCCTCCCGCCGGACTGGGTCAGGCCCTGCGGGAGGGGAAGGCCCCGCCGGGCCCGGGCCGCCCCCCGGGCGCTCCCCATCCCCGCTGCCGCCGTACCTGGCGCCGTCCCCAGCATGGAGCGGAGCCCGCGGCCGTCCCCCAGCCTCGCCGCCGCCGCCGCTCGGGGGCCTCGCCCAGGCTCCTGGCCGCTGCCTCCCCGCGGGCCGGGCGGCGGAGCGGGCTCAGGCTCAGCGGGCGCCGGGCCACATGGCCGCCGCCGCCACGGGACGGGACGGGGCCGGGCGCTGCCGGCGGGGCCCGCGGGGGGGCGCTGCGCGGGGAGGGAGGGGGGGAGGAGAGGGGGGAGGGAGGCGGCGTGGCGGCCGCCAGCGAGACGCCTCCAAACCGGCCCGCCCGCGGGGGCATTGTGGGAAAGGTCCTCCCGGGGGCGGGGGGCGGCACCGGGCGGGGAGGCGGGGCCGGGGGCCGCGGGGCACGTGACCCGCCGCCGGGGTGGGGGGGGGCGGGGCGGGGAGGCGCGGGGCGGGCTCGGGCGCCCCCTGCTGGCGGCGCGGCGGAGGGGCGCGGCCCCGGCCCGGGCGGCGGTGGCGTCATCACAGCGCGACGGGGAGGGGGGGGGCAACCTGCTCCTTCCTTCACACCCCTCCCCGCCTCGTTATTTTAATAACTTTAACCATGTGTAGAGTCGTTATTTTAATAAACTTGACCCATTTCGAGCCGTCCTTTTAATAAAGTTACCCCAAACTTGACCCAAAGCAGCCTCTGTCTGTTCGTTATTCGCGCACGGTGATGGGGGGCCATGGCCATGGCTGTGGTGATGGCGGTGGTGGTGAGGGAGCGGGGGGCTGTGGGGTGATGGCCGCACGCCCTGCAGGCTGCCCGGGCAGCAGGACGGGGGGGGTCGGGGCTTGGTGGAGTGTGGCGGCGGGTCCTCTTGGGGCATGGTGGGTTAAGGGGCGTGTTGGAGGCTGTCCAGCCAGAGTGGTGGCACCTCGTTAGGGAGAATGTTAATTTAGGATTAAGTCAGAAGAGCTCGAATGAAGTAAGAGCAGCCTGTAGGGACAGCGTGTGAGAGGCAGGGGAAGGAAGGGGAGGACTGGCTTCATTAGCAGGCTGCAGGGAAATGTAATAAGCAAGCCGCCGGCCATAGGTAGGAAAGCACAGACAGAAGAAAGATGATGAAATGTGTAAGGTAAGCCTGACTTTAAGGGTTATTAAGGTTAATGAACTCCATCATCTGAAGAAAGGAATGAGCTGTTTTGAAGGATGAGATTAAAGAAAGCCCTGTTGCAGACTAAGACAGATGACTTTCGGTGCTGCATCTTGAGTAGACTGAAATCTTGAATGACCCTCAAACCAGACACTGAAGCAATTAAGAAGGGGGAGTGATGGGGGTAACAGCAACACCGTGTTTGGCTATGGCCGCAGAGGTAAGGTTTTGTTGCAAGGAGGCCGTGCTACACAGAACTGCTGCATGCTTTTACTTACTATTGAGTCTTGTAGTTAAAATGACTCCTGAGTCACTTGAGACTCAGAGATGTAGTGGAAGCCCTGGTGTTTGCTGTTTCTGGCACAGGTCATGAAGATGTTGCTGTCATCCCCTCATGCTGCACAGATCATGTTGCGCAGAGGAGCCAGGGAAGCTGACGGGAGGTTTCCGTGACACAGAGGAATGCAAAGAGAAACACTCATCACATCTGAGGTGCTGTCTGTACTTTTGTTTGATCCTCTGATTGGGTATCATACATGGGTAAAAATGTGGCATCCGTATCCTTTCCAGCACTGACCTTGATACCTACTCATACAACTTCAAAAGTACGCTGTATTAGCAGAACTGCTTTGGCCCTTTCTCATCCACCTTTGGAGATGAGCAAGCTGTCTGCAGTCGAGAGAAAATCCTGGGACTTCACTGCTGTCAGCTTCTGAACTTTTCTGTGTGCCCACAAAGTTCCTGCCCTCAGAGGTTTCAAGTCCTTCCTAAACTGAAGAGATTTCCATAATAATATGGTAGATCAAGGGGAGGCAGTGGATGAAAAAGCAAGGATGAGGCAGGGCATGGTGGAGAGGAACTTTGTAGCTATCCATGAGTGCAGAAATTAGGATTAGCATAGAGTGCAGAGGGGGAATGCAAATACTTGTGTTTTGGTGTTGTAAATCTGAATTCTTAACTTTGAAGTATCCTTCACCATTGAAACGATCCTGTGCCATTTATCATCTGCAAACCATTGCAATGAGGGCAAACAAGAGATGGGCAAAACTGACTTTACGATTATTTCTTTCTCAATGTAATAAACCCAAATGAACCTGGAGTGGTATTTTTGTAGTCTCGAAGCTGCCAGTACAACACTGTGTCTCTGAAAGAGATAGGGTGAAAAAAAAAAATAAAGTAGCAAGCTGTTCTTCCTATAGTGACATTTTTGGGATTGATTGATTAAAGCTACCAAAATATTCAATATCCAGGGAACAGAAGGACCATTGATGACATGATGTTTGTGCTCGCAGTTTTCAGATGCTCGTTTGAGCAATGAACAATTAATCTCTTTGGCTCTTGTATTCTGAGCTTTTGAGGAATGTAGGTATATTCAAATGACATTAAAAAAAGTCTGAAGTGGACTCAGAGTTGATTCAGAACTCATTCAACCTCTTTGCCCCCATGTAGGATCAGTCATGTATCCATTACTACTTTGTTCACTTTGTGCTTCAAGGCCTCTGGAGGTAGACTGTCTCTTCCAAAGCCTCCTCAGACAAGCTATTTCTCTGGTTTAAAATTTCTGCTTTTGTTAAGCTGCTCCTAATCCATAACCTGGATCCTTTCTGTTGCATCAGAAGCCCTTAGTTAAGTCCTGTCCACCACTGGCACAGGGAACAATAGATTGTTTCCTTTCTCTTTGCAACATATTTTTATCTGGTCTTAACTTTTAAAAATTCCTCCTCAGCCTTCTTTTTTAGGTTAAACAGCATTGAAAGGACTACTAAAATCAAGTACATCAGTGTCTACATGACTGTCTCTCCTGTCCAAAGGGCATGTTACTCTGGTATAAAATGAATTGTGATTGGTATGATATTTGATGTTGGTTCATATCTTTGAGGTATTTATAAGAGAGTTGCTTGATCACTTTTTTTTTATCCCCCAGAAGGTTTCTGGGAATCTCTTTCTTCCCCTTTCCAGCAATGAGTTTTGAGCTTTGCTTTCATTTCAGATTCAACTTTGGCTTGTGTTTAGATATGATGAAAAAAAAAAAAAGACAAAAAGCAACAACAACATCAAAAAACTTGGAAATAAACTAGGTGGCTTGTCTCATTTTTCTAATAAGGTAGTAGTCAGAACTCCCTGTCTTTGGTACTTGCATTCTCATTGCTTCTTAGGGAATTTTTTATTTTGGAGTTCTGGAGCATATGTCTATATATCCAAGTAAGTAGGTTGTGTATTCTGTGTGTCAAGACGCCTTGGATACTTGACTGCACTAACAAAGCTATTTCAGTGTTTTTAATTCTTCAGTAGTTCTAAAAGTTTGATTGAGATATTGTGCTTTTTATTTACAGGCAACATGTCTTTGCTTGTAAGCTTCATTGTTTGGAAACACAGTGTAATATTATATAAATAAAAGTAAGCAGAATGAGTCAACAGGTACTAATGAGGAATTACAGACTTCTGCTTTTTAGCCAAAGAGAATGCAAAAGGCTGGTCTGCAAAAGTTTGGTCTGTAAACATGAAAAAATCTGTTTTGGGAGTGTAGCAAATTTAGATAACTTTTTGTTTTGTTTTGTTTTCCTTGTATTTGTTTTAATAAATTCTAAGGGCTACGCTGGAAATTTTTTACAATTGTCAGTTATCAAACATCTACTTTGGTTCATTGCCCATTAAAACTCTTCTTCCCATTTCATACAATGCACTCATCCCTTTCAGACATTGATACTGGACTTTTTTTTTCCTAGCCACAAAACACAGTGAAGACTGTAGCCTTTTTATTATTATTATTATAATTCATTAGAAGGGATTAATCAGCCACTGCTGATTCTATTATTGGTATTTGAACCAACCATTTAGTAAACTAAATATAGAAACTCTGTTGGCTTCATCTTTGACAACATTCATCTCCAGAAGGATCTTATGGGTGTGATCAGATAAGATAAGACTTGGCAGCACACATTTTAGAGTCACAATATTTCCATATCCAGGAACCACGCATCAGCTCCTGAGAGTTTCCTGTTCAATTAAAGCATGTTCTGGCTCTGAAGCTGAAGGGGAGGATCTTGGATAAAACCCTAGAAAACAAGACTCTCTCAGTTCTTTGTGGATAGCACCAGTCCTTTTATATAGGATCAGAGGAATTTTATAATGCTCTTGGCCTGGGTTTTCTTCTCTGTATGCTGTTAGTGGTCACACTTTGATTGTGCTCCATGGAGATGGATTGGAATCCTCTGGAATAAATCCCACTGTAGAAATAAAAGATGTTATTAACAGCAAGATCGAATATCATGAAGAAGAAAAGGTTTTTTGTGTTTAGGGCTATGAGGAAACAGGATGTGAGATAATTAGCCATAATTTATAATATATACCCATATTGTTTCCTTGGGAAGGAATTGGGATGGGTGTTATCCTGTCATGGAGACACCATTCTTTAATTATTCCAAGAGTTCCCATGAGCATTTTACAAATATTCTAGCAGTGAGCTGTGACAAACCACATTCTTTTGCAGTCTTGAAACAAAAAATGCTTGGAGCTTTTGACACCAGCGTATATTATGTACATACCTTGCAAATTCTAACACAAAACCAACAGTGCACTCCTTAGGAAAAATAGCTTGCATTCTTTTCCTGTTTCAAATAATGTTTTCTAAGTTGTGGGATGTTGACTCGTCTAGCTAAACTAGCACTCTGGACTTAAGCTGAACCCCGTTATGCAATGGCCCTCTCTGCCATCCTCAAAGACTTACTGGTTGCATTCAAACTTGCTCAGACAGGTTGTGATAAATATTATTGAAAGCCGTGGGTGTAACTACCGCCCTTCTCTTGGAAGAGCCATAGGAGATAGCTCAGCAAAGCCAAGTTAAACTCAAATCAAAGGCATCCACAGGCTTGAACTCTTTGGGTGGAGAGGTTTTGCCACGCTCTGTGTTGAACTGATCCCTGAGTGTGTGCGTGACAGAGCAGCAAGAGGGAAGATGAGGGGGAGCGGAGTTAATCAGTAACGCCAAGGAAAAGCTGACAGTTCAGCTGAAGTATTTAGGGAAGTAGCGTCTTTCACATTTGTGCAAATAAACAGCATAAGCCAAAATGTGACACAACATTCCTTACCCCCCTATCAGCCTCTCCTCACACAGAGCTGTAAGAGCTCACACTGTTATCCACCCACTTCCATCGAATGGTGCAACGGCGCATAACATGTGTGAATCAACCACAAACGTGCTTCAGGAAAGCTTGTGACAAATGCAGCATGAAACACACGAGCAAGCAATACGTTTTGAAGCTACGATGTTTACTAGGAGCTGGTGGTACTACCAGCTACAGCAGGGGATTGCACCTTCCAGGCTGTAAGTGTGATTATGATTACTTTCAGATATAGCCCAAGGATGTGCAACATGATTGCAGCTGCGGAGGTCACTCCTTTAGAAACCTTACTTTCTCAAAAGACTGAGGAATGACAAAAAACAACCACCATTTTTTTATTATTATTTATTTTTTACTATTCTCCCCTTTCTAAAAGCATTGCTTTTGTTTTATATTTCTATTTCTTGATTTTTTTTTCTGAATTAATCTCTGCATATTATTTACTTAAACAGTGGCTGACTAGCATTTTTAAGATCAATCAGTGCTCTTTATCATTTAATACTATTTAAATATGCAGCTTGGCAAGGGTTGGCTTTTGATACCTCCTTCTCACCCAGCACTGAAAGTGTTTCTCAACCCATAACTGTTGTAGATTCAGCCTTGTCTTTGGGAAACTCTTTGCTGTAATTGTCTTGAAACAGAAAACATATAAATTAAAATAATTTGTACTTCTCCCATGTGGCAGTAGGAAAAGGTACATTTAAAACTACATGATGAATTTTAAATGACTGATTCGTAATGTATCTCATGTAAGGTCTTGCCTTTTCTTTCCTTTTGACATAGGAACATATCCATTAATGTTCTTGATTAATGAGAGGATGGGTAAACTGCAGCCTTCTGGTATATTTTACAATACTTCAGCTACATAAAGCAATTGTTAAGTGCAAATTCATCAGTTTGACTTCTCCAGCTCATGTCTTTATTACAAATGAGTAACAAATTAGGCATATCTAGGTGTTACTGAGGAAGTGAAGGAACCCTATGAAATTAAATGTCTCAGAGGCTTGTCACATGGTAGGATTGATTGGTATTTTGTTATTTGCATGTTGACTCCTAACGTTTACCATACAGCTGGAGTCCATAGACAGATGCGTTGCTCCCACTGGATAGCAATGCTCTCTTATGTCTGAAACAATAGATAGTGAAAACAGTGTTCCTTCGCTATCTTTTTTTCTTTTTGTGTACCCTAAGGGATGAAATCATCTCATCTATCAAGAGCTTATGCAGTCTGAACCATTACTGGAGAATATTATAACAGTGGAATTTAATAGCCTTGTTTTACTTGAATCAATATATTTATACTCATATGAATATCAAGAGGATTTTATTTTTTAAACAGATGCAAAAGGGTCAATAGTTGATTTTTTACATCACGAATAAGGGTAGGGTGATTTGTCTGTTCCTTTTCCTTGTATTAGTCTCAAGATGTTAGGAACACTCTTCTGACCTTTGCTGGTTCTACTGCAGAAGAGCCCCATGAACTTTATTTAAAATGCTGAATATTTAGCACAGACATTTTCTCTGAAGTATTGATTAACTTACTGCATTTCAAAGGTGCTCATAAACTAACTAACTAACTAAATAAAAAAATCTGGCTTTAAATCCTTTTTCTCCTCAGTTGTCCATCATTTTGAGTCTTGCAGTGTTGTTTGCCCTTTCTCGAGATTTTGAATACACCAGGCTTCTCAAAATTTCCTGATGTTACAGTTCCCCCACTAAGGAAATCTGTATCTGTAATTCCATTGTTTAGCAACAGCAGTAACTGGAGAGTGAAAAAGAGTCTCTGAAATTCAACCTGCAATGCCAGCCAGATCTGATCTAAAAGAAGTTAGAGAACCTGATGCAGAAAACATCTGTCTCCAGAAACATGTTTCTCCAGAAAACATGTCTGTTCATACCAGGAGGACTTACCTTGCCTTCCTGTCTAGACTGTTCATCTCCCTAAAGTTTCAATGTCAGACAAATGCCAACAAACAGACTAACAGATCCCAAACTGATCAGTGTTTTACATTAATAAGCAGGGTGAAACACTGATTCTGATGACCTGTTATGGGATGGTAACCACCAGCAAAAGA